GGGGACCCCTACTCCACCTCCCCACATCCCACCCAGTCATGGCAGCAAACACAGCCTGAGTAGAGCTCACCCATGCCTGTTGGCCTTTACAGCACCGTCTGGGCCCTGCCCCTCCCTCGGCTCCCTGCCACATTCGGCTCTGCTGGTTCCAGTATCATTTCTCCTGTAGGTTTTCCAAACCATGCAGCCTCAGATTGCTTTCCACGTTGGTCCTGCCATGTGTTTCCACTGCAACCCTCGTGGGCCTCTCGGTGTTGGCTCTGATCTGCCTCCCTCCACCCTCAGGACTGCTGATGAAGTCCCCTCCCCTCCACCCCACCTGCCCAGGCTGCAGACCAGGGGACCAGTCAGGGTGTTCATTTGGCGGAGATGCCTCAAAGCAATCCTCTCTCTACTCCGAGGTGCTTCTGCTGCTTGCTGATATCTGGGTGCCCAATATTTCCTTCCGGAACCTCCCCCTGCTTTCCGTCCAAATTTTGGAGTTAAGTTAACCAAAATCAAGAGCCAGGGATACAGCACATTGAGTCCTTGAATTGTCCCCAGGTCAGAGCCACAGACATTCCTCTCTGTTTTTATTAGTAAACTAGGAGTTGAAAGGGATGGAGGCCTGGTAACTTACTCCAAAGGTGCTCCAGTTTGATTAAAATTAATTGGAGGGCTAATCCTAATTAGCTAATCCTCCCTTTGCAAGTGCCAGGATCCCATATGGGTACCGGTTCATGTCCCAACTACTCCACTTCCCAGCCAGCTCCCTGCTTGTGGCCAGGGAAAGCAGTGGAGGACAGCTCCAGGCCTTGGGACTCTGCACCCCTGTGAAGAAACGCCTTGCTCCTGACCTCGGATCAGCTCGGCTCTGACCATCTGGGGAGTGAACCAGTGGATGAAAGATCTTTCTGTCTTTCCTTCTCTCTGTAAATCTGCCTTTCAAATATAAATAAATCTTCCCTCCCATCACTAGGATGGGAGTCTCCTTTCTCAATATTCCTAATAAATCTTGCTTTGAAACTAATAAATATATATATATAAATCTTAAAATAAACAAACAAAATGAATTGGAATTTTAAAGAAAGAAATCAATTTTTAGCAAAAAAAAACCCATGCCTATTGAAACCCATGCCTGGGGGGGATGGTACAGGGGGAGGTAACAACAGGACTTGGCGCCCACAGAGGGAGCAGCATGCGTGGGCGGGACAGCCTTGGGCACTTCAGAGTCACAGGCGTCATGCTCTTTGGAAAAGAACCGCGAACTAGCCCAGTGTGGCGCCCCTGACACTCAGACACTATGCGTGAGCATGCCTGGCCTGACAAGCTCCACGCTCACGATCTGCCTCCATGCCGAAGCTGACCTGGCCCTAGGCAACCAACACTACTTGGCCCAGGTGACTGACTCTGTGGCTTCTGAAGAAGGCGAGGTCACACAGGAGGCCCTGCAGCCACCACCTTGTCCTCACAGAGCTGTCCTGTTGTGACACACTCCTGGAATCTCGGGGCTGTTCGCAACCTCCCAAACTCAACTCTGTGGGCAGAGCTCCCCGGGAGATTCTAATTTACACTAAAGCTTGAGCAGTACCAAAGATCAAGCAATGCCTTTTCATTTTCCCCAATATAACCCTCCTGGGTAAGATAGGGACTTTTCAGCCCTCTGGACCTCTCTTGGTAGGGTCTCACCTTTTTCTTTCTTTCTTTTAAGATTTATTTTATTTTGTTGAAAGGCAAAATAATAAAGAGAGAGGCAGAGGTCTTTCATTTGCCGGTTCACTCTTCCAGGTGGCTGTCACAGCTGGGACTGGGCCAGGTTAACAAGCCAAGAAGCTGAATTTCCATCTGAGTCTCCCACATTGGTAGCAGGACCTAAGGATTTGAGCCATCTTCTACTGTTTTTCTCAGACACATTAGCAGGGATATGAGTTGGAAATACAGCATCTGGGACTCCAACTGGGCCCATCACAGGCAGGTCCTTAACCTGCTATGCCGGTCTCTGATCTCACTTGTCAAGGCAGGTCCCGATGATGAGAACAAAGAGTGCCTTTATAAAATGTTTGCTTCCTTCATTCTCTTACGACAATGCCCTGTTTTTTGCTGGGCGAGGGGACGGGAGTTTCCTATCCTGTTCCATGTAGCCAGGGTGGGACAGTACACACGTGTGCTAATCAAGGCGCACATACCTGGTCAGATCTCGGTGGTGTTGCTGCTTCCCTCTGACCACAGGTGTAGGCCGTAGCAAGGTTCTTCACCGAGCGGCTTACCTGGGTCTGTATGGGGAACTTCAAAGAATTCATGGAAAACGTTCATTCGCTTTTAACTTCCTTTTTCCTGGAGCCCTTTGAAGCGTGCTGCTGCCACTTGAGCGCTGGCACACAGCCAAGCATGAAGCTGTCAATTTGCCAGGCTCTCTGGATGTGTGAACTAAGGAATTCCTTTTAAATTTAAGTCGTTTGTTATTCAGTTCCTGCTCTGGGCAACCAGAGTCTGCTAGGAGCAAACCTGGGAGGATGCCGGACACAGTTGCTGCAGCAGTAAGAGACTGATGAATTTTTACAGGGACTAAAGTTCAGAACTGATCGTGCTTTACTCCTGCAAACACGCAGACCTGAAGCTCTGCGGATGAAGGTTGCCTCCCTGTGGCTGTGGCATGGCGCACTGCTTGGCCAGCTCCAGCTCAGGCCCAGGGGTCCACGGGCCCAGGACCCTGGGGAGCTTTTGTCTTGGTTTAGCTGCCACATGCCTTTAGCCCCCTTTTCTTCTCTCTGGCTGAAAGGAGGAGGTGGTGCCCGCCTAGGGATTGCATGAGGGTCAATGCCAGCTGCTGCGGCTGGGGAGCAGAGAGCACTGAGGATTCCAAGTTGCCTCCCCCTTGGCTTTCTGCCACGCGGGGCAAAGCAACGCAGGAGGAACTGCTGGGTTTCTGTCCCATGCAGCTGCGTGGAACTCTGGCCTTGACCGCGCTCTTCACCCACGGCCTCAAGGAAAGGCCTCAGCCCATCCTTGGAGACTCGCCCCTTTGGACTCACTTGTGCTTCTCCAGGCCCCTGTGTGCATTTCCTATCACCGCTGTGGCCGACTGCCTGGGGCCTGGCGGCTGGCTGAGAGTGACAGACTGATCCTCACAGTTCTGCAGGCTCCTGGCAGAATCCACCTCTGGGCGCTGCTGGCTTTCTCCGCTGCTGGCCCCTTTGCACTCAGAGCAGTGGTGCTTTGAAGCCCTCCCTCTGCCCTCTGCCCTGTCCTCCCAGCTCCCTCTCTGACCCACCCTGCTGCTTCCTCCTTCTTCATAGGGTGCTTGGGGTCACGGTGTTCTCACCTAGATCCTCCAGGGTAATCGCTCCAAGGCGGAAATCACATCTGTACAGTTCCCTTTGCCATGTTCTAGAAGTTCTGCAGGAATATCCCCAGGAACATTGTACCATTGTAGGCGTACACCATGGCCAAGTCCTGTTCCCCTCCTCCCCGGGGAGGAGATAAAGCCCACCCACTTCCCAAGGTCCATTTCAGGCCCAGAGAATCCAGACCCCAGAGCCTGCTGCCCTGCAGAATGCAGAGTCCATCCTCTGGCCCTGGTCCCAGGCTCAGTCAGCATCTTGAAGTGTACGGCCATGTCCCCACCCAGTGTGACCCCCTGAAGACCACCATCACACCTTGGCCTTCTTTGGCCCCTTAGAGCACACTGCCTAGAGTTGAGGCTCACATTAGCTTTCTGGACTGACTCAGAGCCCAGAAAGCGGCATTTCCCAGGCTGGGGTCAGTTCCCCTGAGCCAAGGTGAGTGAGGGGTGTGGCCACAGGTGGTGGGCTGTATTTGTGAGATGTGTTTGTGGTTCTTCCAAGGCAGCTGTGCTGAGGCAGCTGTGCTTAGAGGTCCCTGGCCTCTCCTGAGGGAAATGAAGGGGCCAGCGGACCCAGCGGAGCAGAGCAGTGAGGCATTTCTCGGAGCTGGATGGCCTGCGCCTCCACTGCACCTGCACTTGGTCCCCCAGCCCCCTGCAAACATGCAGGCTCCATCATGCCCTGTGTGGAAACCCCTCTAGTTAACAGTGCCTCCCCCACCCCGCTTTCCTTGAACAGGGCTGAGGTGCTAACATTCCGACCAAAGCCGCATCCTTTCAGTGAACCCCAGCCTGAGCAGGTGGGGAGACCTCCTCCTTCGGATCCTCAAAGCTCCCGACAGAAGGCCAACCCCCTGGGAGCCCCTCTTCTTTCATATCAGCTTTCATTTATTGCAGAAATAATTCAACATAATGGCATTATGAAAATCAATTTTAAAAACCTTACTGGTGTGGGCCTAGCGCAATGGCTTAGTGGCTCAAGTCCTTGCCTTGCAAGTGCTGGGATCCCATATGGGGCACCGGTTCATGTCCCGGCTACTCTACTTGCCATCCAGCTCCCTGCCCGTGGTCTTGGAAGGCAGTGGAGGATGGACCAGAGCCTTGAGACCATGTGCCCACATGGGAGACCCAGAAGAAGCTCCTGGCTCCTGGCTTCGGATCGGCTCAGCTCCTGCCATTGCGGCCATAGAGATCTTTCTGCCTCTTGTCCACTCTTTTAATCTGTCGTTCCAATAAATAAATAAAAATAAATAAAATCTTAAAAAAAAACCAGTAAAACGCCTCACTGGCATAGCCCATTGTATTGCTCCCACTTTCTTCCCCAGCCTTAGTCCTCGGCTGCCAAGTTTTTGCAGGGCTGATGATCTGTCTCTTGCTTCCTCAGATAAAGCTGGCACAGGAGCGTTCTGTAAGTAGCCACCAAGTCCTCATTTGGGATGACATCATGCTTCTCTCAGGAATCCTGCTGTGCCTTCTTCAGCAATCCCCGCCCCTGGATTCTGACTCCTCCAGTTTCCTTGGGGCTCACCTCCTGGGGCGCTGCCCAGGCAGGACCCTCCATGGCCACACTTCCGGGGCTGCGAGCGCGCTGGCCCGCGGACTACACTTCCCAGACGCCTCCGCGCGGCGGGCGCGGCGGGCGCGGCCACTGGCTCCTGCGCCGGCTGGGACTCCGAGGCTGAGGCACACTGTGGGACGCAATGGCTGCGTGGAGCCAGCGGCTGGCCGGCGTGCGTGGGGTGCTGCTCGATATCTCGGGTGTGCTATACGACAGCGGAGAGGGCGGCGGAAGGCCGATCGCCGGCTCCGTGGAGGCGGTGGCGAAGTGAGTGGGTCGCGGGCGGGTGGACGCCCAGTTTACCTCAGCCGGGTTGTCACGGCCCCGGCGGCTGCTGCTGGAGGCGGGGCCGGCTGCTGCCGGGGCGGGGCCTGTGGTGGGGGCGGGGCCGGCTGCAGCTGCTGGGGACGGGGCCCTGGAGGCTCCGCCCCCGAGGAGCAGGGAGCTGTGCTGTCCAGTCAGGTGGCTGTGGAGCGCGGGAGGTGTCCAGTCTGAGCTGTGATGTGATATCATTCTGGTGAGAAACATGTTAAGGTCCTCGTTGACACGGTTGCACAATTCCGTGTTAAAATCATTGAATACCCCCAGGTGCTTTTGTTGATGTGTCAACAATGACCTTAAGTCACGTGGGTGGATGTCATGGCACCAGTTCATATAGGAGAGGTGGATCGGACCGGGGGCGTCCTGCCCACCCAGGTTGGTAGCGCTGCGCTTTGGTGTCCCCTGCCAGCAGTCCTCTTGTCAGCAGCTCGGACGGCTTGGTGACTTGTCCTTGCTGGGGATGGTCCTTCTTGGAGACCCCAACCTACTTGTCTGTGTGTACGGGAGTTGCTCAGATCACAGAGACCTACCCTGTCCCGCTCAGCAGAGCAGACGGTTGGGAAGCTGCAGCTTGGAGAGGGGAGGCCCAGCCTTGAGGGCAGCTCAGGCTGGCAGGCTCCCCTGGGCCCTGGTGCTGGCCTGCGCTGTTGGCTAGGGTCTGGGCACAGGTGCCTGCCTGGCCTCCACCACACTCTCTATTAACTCCAAAACCTTGGACCATTCCCGGTCATCAGTGACAGCCTGTGATTGTGGCTCCGTAGGGGCACTGGGCTCAGTTTGGGGTGTAGTGGGCCTCATTTGGGGGAGTAGGAGGCCAGAGTCTGGGAGCTGTAACAGGCAGATGAGACCTACGGGGCTTACGTCAGGGGACAGATGGACACAGGACCACACAGATGGGTCAGTTTAGTCCCCACCGGTTGGCATAAGTGAAGTGAAGGTAGCAGGGGCACAGTGATGGGGTGAGGGCAGCCTGGCCAGAGAGGACTGGGCCCTGATCTGAGGGGAGGCTCTGGCCTGAAGTGCAGGTCGGAGGAGGCTCCTGAGAAGGGTCCTGTGGGCACAGGGGCCAGCAGGGGCTGGGAGGCCATAGGCAGGGAGTGTCCACACGCTGCAGGCAGCTGAGGGGAAAGGGGCCACTGGGCAGGGACTAGAGGGCTGGCGAAGGGCTCTGCGCATCATCAGGGCGTGTCATGTCATCTGGTTTATAATTCAAAGAAACTTCAGAAGTGTGTGTTTGGAACGAAGAAAGGGAGTGGCAAGGAGATGCAGGCTGGTCCTCCTCCAGCACCAGCATCCCCTGTGGGCACCAGTTTGTGTTCCAGCTGCTCCATTTCCCAATCCAGCTCCCTGCTTGTGGCCTGGGAAAGCAGCAGATGACGGCTTGAGGCCTTGGGCCCCTGCACCTGCGTGGGAGACCCGGAAGATGCTCCTGGCTCCCAGCTTTGGGTTGGCTCAGTTCTGGCCATTGTTGCCATTTGGGGAGTGAGCCAGTGGTGGAAGATCTCTCTCTCTGCATCTCTTCCTCTCTCTCTGTAACTATGATTTTTCCAAATAAAATAAATAAGTTTTTAAAAAAAATAAAGGAAGGAAAGAAGAGTGAGAAAGGCCTTTGTATTTATTCCTGGAATCTAGAAATCAGAGCCAGAAAATGAGCAGCCCAGCGGAAGTACAGAAGGACGCGGACAGTGTGAGACCTGTGTGCCCGCGCCAGGAGCTCAGCCCTATGCACGAGAGGAAGGCACAAGAAGGCCACGCCGAGAGGCTGTCTGTCCTGCGAGGATCGGGCACGAGTGGCACAATCCACAGGTCTGAGAGCACAGTCTCTTGGAGGCAGTTTTTGGAAAAAACCCGAGTAAGGCCAGACAGGCTCGGCCTGAGCTACAGCTCCTCCGTTTCTGGTGAGACGTGATGTAAGGACAGTGGCCTCTCCTGAAATGCTGTCCGTGAGGGCACGTCTGTGCACCAGGCGTCCCTCTGTCCATGCGCTGGAGTGCCATTAAAAAGTGTAGAGAAGGAGTGAGCACCGTGTTAGTGGCCACGTTGTGCTGGAAGGCAGCAGGCCACACGCTGCACGCTGTCTCATGCAGGACAGGAGTGTCAGCGTGCGGTCTGCTGTTTTGTATACATGAAGACCCTGCTCCCAAGTCTGTAGAAAGAGCTGGGCACACGTGAGTGGGGGAATGGTGAGAGGGGATAACTTTGTACGTCAGCATTTTACAGGGCTCTGCACCATGAGAATGGATTTCCATCCAAAATGTTAGCTTAAAACGATTTGAAGATGGAGAGTGGTGCGCAGGGGCCAGGAAGCAAGACAGCATCCAGGGGTGGGAGGCTGTTGTGGTGGCCAGGGATCTTGATGGGTTTTGGGCAAGGGGAATGACAATGGAGAAGACCAGGCTTGAAGCGACAAAATGACAAATGGGATATGTGGGGCCAGCAAGAACCTGAAAGAAAGGGTGACTTCTGCTGTCTGCTGAGGGAGTAGTCGAATGGGCAGTGGGGGTTCCCGTGTATGTCAAGTTCGTGCCCAGGACTTGTCACACGCACCCTACAGCGGGACAGCATTTCCTTATCTTCCTCTAAATTATTAATGTAGGGACTCAGATTCTGCCACTGTTTATGCTTTAGACATCAGGCCCACTTGAAAGTAACTTTTTACTGAAGGAAATGATACGTACAGAAAAGTGCACCTGCTGTGTGTGCATGCATAACTTGGTGAGTTTCCATCAGCTGCTGTCCCCTGTGTGAGCAGTACGCAGAAGCTCCTGCATGGCCCCCAGTGGTGGCCTGTCCACTCCCCAGGGTGGCCCCTCTCATGGCTGCTAGGACCAACAGCGGTGTTGGTCAGACCTATTGCCAGCTCTGCGTCTGTGACTCCATGTCTTGTGTCCTCAGCTGCATGTTACACCTGAGATGGGTCTGCATCTGTGGAGTGTAGTTGTAGGGCGTGTCACAGGGGGTTGTGAGATCAGCCTGTGCTGGTTGGTCCCCATTGCTGTGGGTTCTCATCAGCACTTGGGTTTGTCAGTCCTGTTCATTTTAGCAGATCATTTTGTCTTTGAAAAATCTGTGAAGTTAAACAGGACTTAGGCTAGAATCTCAGTCCCTTCCCATACACCCTCTGCTGGGAGAGTCCAGTGGGTGAGGCTAGGCAAACCAGGAGCTGAGTCAGTCATCTTGGCCTGGAACATACCCCTTACCCCCAGGCAGCTGAAGGCTCAGGGGTTTCCAGCCACAGCCAGGATGGTTACTTGTCTGCCAGGCATGAGCTCTGGTCTACTGTCTCATCCTCTCCTGCCTGATCCCTCATAGCCCAAGTAGCCAGGTTGGTTCTTTTGCCCCTTATCTGCCAGCATGCTCGGAGAGGACCAGGGCTTGCCAGGGTCTTAGAGCTGGGATGGCACAGGGGCTGTTAGAACTCTGGTCTTCCAATTCAGAATTCTTCCTGAAGTGTCTGGAGGGAGACAGGGGCTGCTAGAGGGTCTGTCTCGAGCAGCTTCTGTGGGGCCCAGGGTGGCTTACATGTGCTGCCACTCCTGTTGGGTCACTTACCATCACAGCTGGTTTTGTGGCTGGTGAGGTGCCACGTTGCCCTCCTGAAAGGCACTCTTCATCCTGGGAGTGTTCTTACTGTGCCATCAAGTGGCCTGGAGAACTCATGGCCCAGTATCTGTCTCTCTCTTTCCTTCTAAAAATTGATTTATCTGAAAGCTTGAGTGAGTGACAGAGACAAGGAGAGGCAGAGAGCAATCCGGCCATCCGCTTCCATCCCCAAAGGGCCACAACAGCCAGATCTGGGCCAACAGAGCTGGGAGTCAGGAACTCCAGCTGGGTCTCTTCTATGTGGCAGAGGCCCAAGCCACTTGACCATCTTCCGCTGCCTTCCCGGGTTCGTAAGGAGCTGGAAGTAGGCAGCCGGCACTGGAGCTGGCACTTTGGTGAGGGACACTGGCCATCTTCCGCTGCCTTCCCGGGTTCGTAAGGATCTGGAAGTGGGTAGCTGGCACTCGAGCTGGCACTTTGGTGAGGGACACTGCCATCACAGCCTGTGTCTTCACTTGCTGCAGCACAAAGCCAGCCTCTAGCCTTGTCTTTATGAGAGCCCCAGGCTTCCCAAGCCACAGGACCGTGTGCTACACTTGTGCTTTGTTCCCAAGGAGCCCTCTGTCACCTCTTCCACTGCAGGAGCTTGCACAGTGCCTCTGAGCATGCAGTGTGGGAAGCCAGTACCACAGGCTGTCCCGGTGGGCTTGTCAGCAAATGGCCGAGCCCACTCCACTGCCTGCTGATGTTTGTGTTCTCGACCCGGTCGCCCAGGCCCAGCTGCAGAGTGGGTGTCGGGCAGGAGACCGCCTGCTTTGGGAGTTTGCTGGTGGGAGCCTCCAGCCCTAGGGCAGCCTCTTCTTCCTTTCTTAGTGGCTGCCCAGAGCAGACTCTCCCACGGCTTTGAGAGAACATGCAGCTGGCACGTGTGACTTTGCAGCTACCGGAGTTTGAAGTTTGTTTGCACCTTTCTCTCCGTGGCCTCCTTGATGTGCACAGCTCCTTTTGAAGTCCTGCTGGAGCAGAGGAAGTTCCTGGGGTCAGGCCAGCCCTGAAGGGGGCAAGTGTGATGGGGGAAGGGGATACTGGGGCAAACATCAGCTTCCACACTCTTGTAGCTCTTGAGTTCTGTGAGCCTAGGAGGGAGCCACTTACGACCCCCACCCTTGTGGGACTTTCTGGAAGGTTCCCACTTGTGGACAGAGAGCATGTGGGCAGCTTTTTAAAGCAGTACGGACTGCGTGATGGTGCTCACCACTCATTGAGGGAGGCCCATCATTCTCGTGCCCAACTTACTGAGCATCACTTTCCCTGGGAGAGGGTGTCAGAGAGGCTCAGAGGGAGTCAGGACGTGGCAAAAACACTGCCGATGCACTGCTTCATTCATTCACTCATCCACGGGA